ATGTTGTAAGTCACAGCAGCATCAACTCTGACTTACAACATAGCCAAGCACATGGCCACCATGCTGGCTCCTTTGGTGGGAAACACACAGCACCACATAATAAACTCCTAGGACTTTGCAAGGAAAGTCCAACAACTGCAGCTGGACCAGGACGAGACCATGGTCTCATATGATGTCACATCCTTGTTCACTTGCATCCTCACCACAGTGGCTGTCAGGGCAGTGAAGAAGAGACTGCTGAAGGATGACAACAGGACTAACCTCACCCCAGACCATGTATGCACTCTGCTGGAACTCTGTTTAAACACTACCTACTTCCAGTTTAGGGGGTGCTTCTATAGGCAGCAACACGGCTGTGCTATGGGCTCCCCTGTGTCTCCTATAATTGCCAACCTGTACATGGAAGAAAGTGAGGAGAAAGCCCTGTCTTCCTTCACTGGCACCGCTCCCAGCCACTGGTTCCGCTACGTGGATGACACATGGGTTAAAATCAGGACCCAGGAGGTAGAGGCTTTCACCAAACATATCAACTCTGTGGATGACAACATCAGATTCACTCGTGAGGATGCCAGAGATGACTGTCTGGCCTTTCTGGATTGTGCAGTCTACTTGGGAGGGGACAGAAGCCTGAGGGTAGAAGTATATCGGAAACCTACACACACGGACCAATACCTGCTTTTTGGGTCACACCATCCACTTCAACACAAACTGGGAGTCATCAGAACTTTAAATCACAGGGCAGAGGAAGTGCCCACAACTGCAGAAGGGGCCAAGATGGAGAAATTACACATCCAGAACTCCCTTAAGGCTTGTGGATACCCTAAGTGGGCCTTCACCAAAGCAAGGAAGAGGCCCAACACCAACAGGGAGAAACCAGAAACAAGAGGGGATAACACTGTCACCCCTTATGTGGCTGGTTTATCAGAGAAGTTAAAAAGGATATTTCGCAACCACAATATCCCAGTTAACTTTAAACCAGGGAACACTCTGCGGCAGAGACTGGTCCACCCAAAGGACAAAACACGCAGACATAAACAGAGTGATGTGGTGTATGCCATTAAGTGTAGTCAGGAATGTAACAACTTGTACATTGGTGAAACTAAGCAGCCGCTTCACAAACGCATGGCCCAACACAGGAGGGCCAACTCCAGTGGACCAGAGTCAGCAGTCCACCTCTACCTGAAGGACAAAGGACGTTCTTTTGAGGACAGTGAAGTCCAGATCCTCTCCAGAGAACATCGCTGGTTTGAGAGAGGAGTTACGAAAGCCATTTTGTAAAAATAGAACACCCCTCACTAAATAGGTGTGGTGGACTAAGACACAACTTGTCATCCATTTACAATCCTGTTTTGAGATCTCTGCCAAAACATGCCCACCAGGACAATAGGTGTAGGTCGACGGGGAGGATTCAAAGACAGGTAACGACTCTCACTGATACTGGGCTATAACGACTCAGTCATTAAGGGACATTGTTGGCCTTCAAAGGACTGAAACACCACTGAGGGGGATAAATATCTCCGGCTCAACACCAGTCAGTCAGAACTGATGAAGCCTCTTGGGTGAGAGGTGAAACATCTTCGACCTAGAATTCTAGTCCAGTTGATTTTTTCTAAGTTTTTTCAGTTCCTTTAAATGTACATTAACTAGGATTTTACACATTGTCTAATAACTCAAGTGGCAATGGTTAAAATCCTGCCAACCACCTAGCAAAGGTTCTGTTAGAAATTAATAAAGATAATTATTAGACTTTAATGTGTTAGACTTCAATGTGTTAGTAATGTAGTTTA